TGGACCTTGAGCTGAGCCAGACTCAGGGCAGCCATGCTCTGGGCAGATCCCAGGCCAGGGAGGTTCAGAACTAGAACCATCCCACCCACCTTCGTGCCTCTCAAAGCCGAGTTTAAGCTCCCAAACAAATGGGACACTAAGGGTCACTGCACTTTCTGGAAACTCAACTCAGATGCCAACCGGGAAGGCCTCACAGACCACATCTCCCCCCAGGAAACTTCAGGCTCAGGACTTGGTCATCTAGAAGACAGAAGCCCTACCTTCCCAATTTCTCCGTGGTGTCTTCTGTACTGCAGTGGCTGGTATTTGGGGGCAGCCTCAGTTCACAAGGCAGCTCGTATACAAGGCTCAGGGGCACAGAAGCAATTGCCTTCCCAGGATCTGTTTAGTTTTGCAACTTACGAGATTAATTGTCTTATATCCCGGGGCTCAACTTACCGTGCCCTGACCAGGTGCTCCACCCTCACACCTAGCAACAGGGGAGGAGAGGGGAGGTGTAAGGGTGGAGCACACTTCGCTTCTGTTGGGCCGGACTCCTTGCTGTCTACACAACAGGCCCACGTGTTGCCCAGAAAGCCCTCCCTCCTGCCAAAGTCCCATTTTGCTCTCAAAGTCAACTGCAGCCCCTCTCCTGTGGACCAGCCTTCCTTGCTGCCGGGCCCACAGTGCTCCCTCCCCTCAAGGTCACCTTGATCCTGTTCACACATTGCCCCGTCCCACCTGCAGCTGACCTGTGTGTGGGTCCACCCATCTCCCGTATCATGATACAGGCTTTCTGAGGTCAGGCCCCCAAATCTGCCCTTCCCCAGTCTCCATGCAGGGCAGGACCCAAAGACATGCTGGTTATGTGAGGTGATCTGAAGACCCAAGAGGCAGCCAGTGTGGCAGGAAGAGCACAGCTTTGCAGCCACAGTCCTGGGCCACTCCTGCCTCTGCCATTTCCTAGGGTACAACTGTAAGCAGGTGATAAAGCCTTCGCCTTCCTTTCCTCATGGAATACGGTAAGACCAGATACCATATTTACCTCATTGCACTGTTGTGAAGGCTAAATGATTCACTTCATTTCATTCATTCATTCGTTGGTTCATTCAACAAACACGGAGCATCTACTATGTGCTGGGAACTGTGCTAGATGCTTTGCAGGGCAGTAAATAAAAGGCATTTACTTGTGTTTGTGAAGATTACATTCTAGTGAAGCAGACAGATAATAGACAACCAGATAAAGAATCTCAGATATTGCTAAGTACTGTGAATAAAAATAAGGCAATGTGAGGGGAGTGGGGTGTCTGTTAGCTCCATGGGGTGGTCAGGGAGGGCCTCTTTGGGATGGGATTTGGGCAGAGGCCTGGCTGAGAGGACTGGGACGCAGTCAAGTGCTTGATGAATATTAGCTGTTATTATAATTCGTGTTGTGGGAATAAGAAGGTCTCCATGCTGAGGAGAACATCCTGCCCCAGGACCCCAGAGGGGGTGCCCCCAACCCTTCCCTTATCTTACACTGCCCCTAGGCCCAACTGAGCTCACCCCCAGGAGGGAGACAGCTGTCACCTCTGTATTACCTGCACCCCAGGGGTCTGCACCTCCAGGCTTTTATTCATCTTGTTCCCCCCACCTAGGCCCTTCCCCACTCCTTTCCTCCTGGATTCACCCTAATCCTGCCCAAACCACGTGAAGATGGGCCCTGGCCCCTTCCCCCCTCCCTGCTCAGCTTCTTCTCCTTCCAGCAGCATTTCAGTCCTCACAACTCAATTTCACACCCATTAATTAATACAATCACTCTACCATTGTTTTGTTATTGTGTTCCCTCATTTCTTTCCAGTCATGGCAAGCCTGTGTTCTCAGAGCATCCTCTGAGGGAGGCAGGGAGGTTGGTACTGTCCGTGTTTTAGAAATGGAGAAACTGAGGCTCCGCAGCAGTGACATGCCTCATGGTGGATGCCTGGAAGGGGTGCTGGCTCCATATTTAGTCCTCAGACTCTCTCCACAACTGGTCCTGCCCTGTGCAGCAATAGCGCGTGTACACACACACACACACACACACACACACACACAAACACACACACTTATGCACACAGACTCACACACACACCAGAATCTCCAGTTCTTCAGGGCAGGGCTAGCCTCCCCAGCACCTAGCACGGGGTCCTGCACAGTTAAAGTCCATGAATTCTCACAGATTCCAGTAGCATTGCCTGGGAGAGTCTGAATAAACTGCCCCCCTCCCATCCCATCCCTTGACCTGGGCAAGCAGTCCTCCCCCTCCCCCTCCTGCCCAGTGGTGGCCCCACGGTCTTGGCTGCCCCAACTCACTTCTCCAGCATGGACATGACGATTGGCGGGAGCACCAGGATGGGCATGGGGAGGACCACTCGCGTCAGCGCCGTCTCCAGCAGGGCCTGAGGGGCAAACGGAGGCTGTGGTGAGTGGGGCTCCCCGGAGGGGGCACAGCCGCCTGGCAGCCAATCCCACCCCAGAGCCCCGAGGTGTGCGCATCACTGCTAAGCAGGCCTGGCTGAGTGGAATAATTCACGGATTTGCTCATGAAGCCATACTCCAACAACCGAGAAAAGCCACCCCCGTCTTCTCATCACACACATTTGAAGAGCAGATCCCGACACCTGCCACATGTGGGGGTGGGACAGCAACACAGAAGTGCCCAAGGGGGTGCCTCGGGTGGGTGGCAGGTGCAGGGGCTTGGGGGGAAGCAGCAGGAAAACTTGAGATGCTCTAAAATCTAAGCAGGCCCTGAAGGACCCCAGCAAAGAGCTGGGGCCTGGTGCCGTGGGGGGCAGAGACTCTGGGAGTTGCTGTTCTCTGACATCCCTTAAAGACAAAGGTCCAAGGAGGAGGCGGCTTTCTTGGTGACCAGCGGGAGGCACTTCCGCTGAGTGTCTTCGAGTCTCCCAATGGGCCCTGCCTGGGCCTGGCTCTGGGACTCCCTTGGGATTCCCGGCAGGGGGCACAGCCAGGGCACAGCTGTGGCACCCCTGCACTCTGCCGGTCATTGTGGGGAGTCCATTTAACCCACAGGCTTGGGCCCTCCAGGAATGACTGGTAGTCCCCCGGGTCCCTGGTCTTCCCTTAGACCCGTGGTCGGCAAACTGCGGCTCTCGAGCCACATGCGGCTCTTTGGCCCCTTGAGTGTGGCTCTTCCTAAGCCTTAGGAGTACCCTAATTAAGTTAATAGCAATGTACCTACCTATATAGTTTAAGTTTAAAAAATTTGGCTCTCAAAAGAAATTTCAATCGCTGTACTGTTGATACTTGGCTCTGTTGACTAATGAGTTTGCCGACCACTGCCTTAGACAGCAAGGGGCTGTAGCCAGGCTGGGGAACACCAAGGGCTGCAGAGAGCTTGGGGTTCCTGCCATTTGGACCAGAAAGAGGACCATCAACATCAGCCTCCCTCACAGCAAGTCAAGAAAGAGTATAGGGCTAGAGAGGAGGTTGGTACCAGGTAGGAAACTGAGGCCAAATCCCTTCTGAGGACAGGCTCAGGGTTGGAAATTTCTCCCAGGAACTGGGGTCCTTTGTGACCAGCCTCAGGAAGGCCTGGGAGAGGGTCCCTCCAGCCTCCCTCCCAAGCGGGAATGAGGGGCCAGAGCCCGTGTGCGGGAAGCAGAGGGTGCAGGCAGCATTGGCACCGGCAACCTGAGCCCCTTCCCTTCAGAACCTTGGGTGGGCACTCCCCCCGAAACAGTGGGGAGGGGAGGGCTGGATGAGAGAGGGCTCTCCCTACACTGGAGGATCATAGAGGAGGCCGCCCTGACAGAGGTTCCGCTCGGGCCCCTGTGGGAGCTGAGGAGGGACAGGGCCTGGAGCAGAAATGCTTGGCTACCTCACAGCTGAACCCCCCTGTCCCAGCCCTTGGAAGCCAGAGCCGGGGAGAGCCACTGATCACCACTGGGAAGAGGGCTGGACACAAGCATACTGGAGTTAAAAAATATTACAACTGCTGGAGTGGGTGAGGCGGGTGAAACCAGAGGTGGGAAAGGGCCTTCCCCTAACAAAACATTCTTCTCCAGCCACTGCAAGGCCTTGGCCAAGCCTGAAATCCCACACCTTAGCGCACTCACTCCTCACTCCCCAGCGAGGCGCCAAGTGCAGGAGTGCTTATTAGCACAGAACCACAAGCACCCGTGCCCACACTTCCTCATCTTACCCAGGAGGACGTGAACGCCCAGGGGATAGGGTCCCAGGTCTGGGGAGGGAAGGGAAAGCTCTGGAGTCTATTCTGCCCTCACCAATTAACAGATCAGTGAAGCTGTGTCCTGAGGGGCTGCAAGGAGATGGGGACAGTTCACATTGGGGAGGAGAGGGCACTTGGAGAGAAACAGGGATGCCTAGGGAATGGGCATGGCTGGACCAGACCTCCAGGCTGGGGCTCATACAGACGGCAGGTGGGGCAGGGTGAGGAGGCGAGATTAAGAGGACAAAGCAAGGGTGCTGTAGGCAAAAGTCTTTGAGGAATGAAAACATTTAGGGGAAACCAACACCCTCCCTGTGGCTGCCCCCCCACCCCCATCCCCATGCTCTGCCCCCTGAGCCCCGGGAGGACCCACATGTCTAGCTGCGATCCTGGAGGAGCCCACGAGGTTGCCATCACCGTCCAGGACATCGATCCCTTCTTCTAGCTCCCCGTACCGCATCAGGACCACGTTGCAGATATTGGCGCTGGCTGGAGAGAGAGAAGGGAGCAGGAGTGAGGGGGAGGATGGCAGTCCACTTGGTAGGACCCCTGGGCTCCACCTTCGCCCCAGACTCTCCAGCCCAAGCAACGAAGTTCTGAATAGACGCCAAGTTTGTGTTCAAGTGCAGTGGGGGAAGGTGTGGTCCTGGTGCCTATCAGCTTGGTGAGGGGTTTGGGGGACCTTGAGAACCTGGTGAGCAAGGCTGGAAAACAACCAGTGTTAGGGAGGAAGGGGGAACTGCTCAGGGCTTAGAGAGCGGCCAGTTATCAAGGAGACTGCCCCCTGCAGGCAGGCCAAAGGGGTGCCCGTCTGGGGGGCTCTGGGGCCTGAAGACACATCCCCCACGGGTGCCTGATGCTCCCCCATCAGCAACTCAGCACCCCACATCCAGCCCCTTGCTCCTCAGCGTGAATCAAGTTCCCAGAGATTTGCTTCTCTGACAGCAGGTGCCAGAGCGGCAGGAACCTCAGTGCTCACCCAGCACCGCCCCCTCATCATATGGATGGAAAATTGAGGCTCACGGTGTATGTGTTGGGGGGGGGGGGGGGGGGGCGGGATTTATCTGAGGTCACATAGCAAAGTGGGGCAGAGCTGAAAGGTCACAGAGCCTGGTCCTCTGGACACCCAGGAGGTGGGGAGAGGGCGGGGTCAGGCAGCGCTACAGGAATACCTTCTACTTTTGGCTTCAGATGGTTGGTTCATCCTTTGACCATGCCCACCCATCTCAGCTGAGATCATGGGGGCCTGGGCTGAGGGGAGGGTTCCTGGATCCATAGTTAAACACTGGATGCCAGAGTTTGGGAGCCACCTATCAGCTGGTGGCTAGCTTCGGGAGCCTTACCAGGGACTCACAGGGCTGGGCCTGGGCCTGGGCCCAAGGCTAGGTGTGGGTGCTGACCTCGCCTGAACTCCCCCAGCTCTGCTCCAGGATGGAAGTGGGGGAACAAGGGGGTGGTGGGCGGGTGGGGAGTGGGGGGTGACAAATGTGGATCCCGCCTGCTTCACTCCTCCCCCCAAAGCGCCTTGCTGTGTTTAAAGTTTTAATTTTTGCTAATTAATGTCAATTAATTTTGTATAATGAGTGTTTAATTTTGGGGAGTGTGTGAGCCTGGGAGCGACTGCAGTTCTGGGCTGTGAACGCTGATTAGCATCAACACCTGCTGCTTCCCCACTCCCTCCAGTGGGGGGGGGTGCACCCGAGTTTGGGGAGCTGGAGGGCGGCAGGGCCTGGTGGGCAGGTGGAGTGGGAGGAGGACCGCAGATGCTCCTGGTGCCTGCGCCAACACAGGGGAGCAGAGGGGCCCAGGATGCTCGCAGCTGGGGGACAGGGTTCTGCAGGTGAGGGGTGGCTTGAGGCCCTGGGGTCTCTAAGCCTCAGTCTCCCTTTTCAATAAAGTGGAAGGTGGAACAGGCAGAGGGAAGACCAAGTGGCTCCGCAGTCTTTGGAGAGAAAAGCAGGCGACCAAATACAGTTTTAAATGTATTACAGCACAGATGTCATCTTTGAGTAGCTCTCATGTTTCCACAAGACACTCAGCCGCACTGGTACCCACAGGCAGACCTCCTCTCGCAGGGCCACTCCTGTCCACACGGCAGGCAGGCTCAGCGGTCTGATACAGTGGCTCTCAACCGGGGCGATGTTGTGAGACATCTGGCAACATTTGGAGACATTTTTGATGATCACAGCCTGGTGTGTGTAGGGGTTGCTATAGGCCGTCTAGTGGGTAGAGGCCAGAGATGCTGCTAAGCATCCTACAATGCACAGCACTGCCCCACAGCAAAGAATTATCCAGCTCAAAATGTCAGTAGTGCAGATGTTGAAAACCCCTGTGTCACGCACATCTAGAGACCCACAGGATGAGGAAGTGGATCTAGGTTGGGAACCCCGGCTTCGGGACAACGGGGCTTGGGTTCTAATTCTGATGCTGAATCTCCCCCTCCTCACCCTCAGAGGAGAGCTCCCGCCAGCCCCAGGCCCTCCCAGGGCTCAGGGCCAGGAAGGGCCCCCACAGTGGCCTTGGGAAGGGAGGCACCTAGCTGGTGTGTTTAGTGGTGACAGGGATGCTCTTCGTCCTTTACCCCCTGGGGCTGCCAGGCCTGCAGTTCCCAGGAGACCGAACACAACCACCGGAGAGGACATGGGGGGTCTCTGCCCTGAAAGGCATGGGTCTCTGCCCACCGCTGTTCTGAAAGGCAAGGCTACAGGAATGTGGTCCAGGGGACGGGCCTCTGCTTCAGGTCAGGAGGCGGCAGCTCACTCTGCAAACTCCTCCCCCCACCCCCTGGGTGCAGAA